ACCTTAACTTTCAAAGCTTATATCTCGATGAATTTTAAAGCTATCTTGATAGATTAATATTCAAAAGAAAGCGTACGATCTAAGATTTCTTTTGAATACTAGATAATCAAGATAGCTTTAAAATTTATCGAGATATGAGTTGCGAAGGTTAAGGTATTAATTTTTTTTCAAATGTAGATCTGCTTGATTTCTATTGACGGCAGCCCATATTTGTATAGTTTATTTAGTCCCAACCCTAACCTCCGGACAAGTTCTATCTAGAACCAGTCTAGACTTCATGCGTGTTGACAGGGGGTCAACAGATCGAAAAGACAGACCAAGCGCGAGAGCATGCGGCCGCGCTGCAGGAGTTGACCGAACGCAATAGCACGGCAAGCAAGTGGGCATCAAGCAATATGCCATATTAAGTAAGGCATTTATGCAAGCTATGGCATAAAGCGCGAAGCAATAACCTTCCGGAGTTGGATAACAAAACAACTAACGCCCCTAGGTTTCTTCCTTCTCTACTTATCATTATATAGACTTTATTTAAAAAATACACCCCTCCTCTCGTGTTTTCTGTCCCTCTCCTTAGACAAAGCAGTTGCGATAGTAACACCGCCCATATGTTTTACACATGAATTTTTTGTCTGCATTATGCCGGTTTGGTCAAACTATAATAAATTTAAATAAAAAATTTTGCGCATAATACGTATTTGCTCATAAATAAGTATTACATGAATATTCCGCCAAAGAATTGCGTACATAGGTACGTTATAGTGATGTGCCGCGTACAGTACTATACGTACTGTACGCACGTACTGTACGTACTGTACGCGAAAATTCTTGCCGATCACTTCGGGTGAATTCTCCCAACCAATCAGATCGCTAGAAACAACTATACGCACTATACGTACTGTACGTACTGTACGCGAAAAAAATTTGGGTATCATATAAATGGCACATCACTAGGTACGTACGAGCTATTAATTATCCACTGGTTTCACTAAATTTCTGGTATAAATATTTCATTGCATTAGGTATAATTTGACCTTCGGCACATTGGGATGTAATTGAGATTTTCTAAAAAAATTAATGTTTTTATCTGGTCTTTTTATCTAATAGGAAAATCAATAAATTTGATTAATAGAATTTTACCACTTTTTTCTTAATTGGATTGAAGAATATTTTTTCACCGCTGTTTTTCTCTTTTCTCTACTTTTGTAAACTTGATCTAAGTTGTTTCGTTCCAAAAGATATTACTTAACTAGGTAGAACTGACCTAGTAACGTATAGGACCGTATAATGACGAAAATAAGCACCTCCCATGTACGATTTTTACAGCCAAAATTCTCGTGATCCTGTGATCGGATCTGCATAATTTGGTATCATACCATCGAATCAGCTTATCAAAACGATCACTAGATCACGAGAATTTTGGTTGTACAGGGGAGGTACTTATTTTCGGTAATATACGGTAAATTTCTTCACAATGGTCCTATTTAAATTAAAGACTAATAAGACTGAAAAATAACTATTAGAATAGACTTGGGAAATGGCTTTTTTACCTTTATTTATTGGCTGAAGGCTAATTCAAAACATTTACTAAGCCAAAATCATAGGAAAACAACAGTGCCACAAATACTGTTAAATATTTACTAGCAGATTATGGCTTAGTTAAAATCTATAGAATTTAATTCCATAATAAAATCTTTTTAAAATAGCTATTAAGAAACATTTGTCGTTATTAATAATTAGAAATGACATCTAAATCCGACAAATCTCATATAATTGTAATGGAGAAGACTCAGAATAAAATCTCTAAAATTGTTTGTTCGCCTAAAATGAACCATGTTGCTATATTAGACGAAAGTAGCAATGTTAGTTTTTGGTCTATTGATAGTCAAGAGCAACTCATAGAAATAAATACGACTTATATAGAAAATATTTGCACAAAAAAAAAAGATGATAGAATATTTGCAATTTCAGATAACATGCTTACTTCAATTGGTCTTGATAGAGTTAATCCCTACAATTTTAGTAAGTTAAGCAAAAATTTTGTCTTATTGCTAGTTCATAAAATTGAACTAATTTATTGTAATTTATGTAGAAATTTTCGATTTTAAAACTGAAGAGGAAATATTTCTAACTTTTACGGATTGGCAAAATGAAATTGACTTCTTGTCCTTTACTGATAATGGAAAAATAATAATGGTTAATAAAAAATTTTACAGAGCATATATTTTTTCAGGTGAAGATGATAATAATTGGATTTGTAAATCAATGGTTGAACTGAAATACTTTAAAAAAGTTTTTATTACGCTTAAAGGCAAATTGATCATATTTAATGATACAATTTTTGAGATCTCAATTTGTGACATTGAAAAGTTATCGGTCAAAACTCGTGTTTTAATAGATTGGTATTATAAACTTGAATCTTTAGAAATCAGTGAAGATGAAAAATTACTAATAGTATGTGCATATAATAAGAAAGTCAAGGAATCACGATTATATGTCTTTTCAATCGATACTGGGATGAACATCGCATTCTGTAAGTTTTTGTATTATTATAATAAATTGTAACATAACTTTTTAATAATTAATTTTATTAATATTTAGTTAATACACGATACATTATCGATAGATTTCACTTGATTGCATCTAAAAAAGGAGAAAGATTACTTTATGTATTAGACGATCCGCCAGAAAATAAGCAATATAATATAATGAATCCTTATTATTTAAAAAATCCAATTGATGCGATTGATCTTTTTGAATATAACAAAATTCAAGAAACATACTTAAATCAAGGACCATACCTAATTCAATCAGATAAAATAATTTATATAATTGATGGGAAATTGTCAATCAAAAATTTGGTGCCTGATAATTCTGAAGATTGGAATAAATACCTACGAAGAGAACTGAAGGACACAAACAGTACTATAACTCCAGCTGAAAAGACAATTGAAATTATTAAGAATAGATTAAATAACTGTAATGAATATTTTACTGTTAACAGGGAATTTGAAGGGTGTCATTTAAAATGGGGATTAGAATTAAACAGTAACTCAGTAATACTTACAGTAACTGACTTTAACCATCGCAAGAAGAAGTGGAATCCTAATAACAAAAAAAACCGTCTAGAAATTCTTCCATCTTTTTATCCAGATGGAAAAAAATTTATATTACATTGTGAAGTTCTTTATAATGATGATTTTATTATGATTACACGTATTGGCGTAATCATCTGGACTTTTAAACCTTGTAGAATCACTGAGACGAAAACCATTAAGATGCATTATTATTGGAATAATTGTAATTCTAGTTTAGAGGAATTCGTACTTGATAATAACGGTAGTTTAAAGAATTTCGATTTTGAAGAATTCAAGGATCTCTTTAATGACTGGACTCTAGGACGAATTCTTCCTTCTTCAAGTTATGAAACTATCTGTAAAAATTTAAATGTCAAATTTGATGATGAACAGCTTCTCTTATATTTTTTTAAAGATAATATAAATGAAGAATTTTATTTAAATTGTTATGGAGAAATTCTCATGAAAACATTTATTTCATTAAAGAACGATAAATGGATTCGGTCTTTAGGCAAGAACTGTATAGAAAAATGCATACCGGATAATCATTTTTTGATCTTTAAAATTCCTTTGCTGAGTATTATTTTTGATAATTTTAATGAATTATCAGAAAATCATCCTGCATTTATAGCAAGTGTTTTATCTATGATAGCATTTATTGTACCTTCCACCATAATAAATCCAGAATCTACTTCTTCACATCTTTCCAGCTATGGAAGATATTGTCACTTAACTAAAACATCATATCTTGATATGATAACTTCTAGTCTTTTGAATCGTTTAATTAGATTTCAAAAAAATTTTCAAAAAAATTTTCAAGAATTTCAAAAAAGTCATCCTCTTTTTCAAAAATTCATTGTAAAGCTTTATAAACAAGTTAAGGGCGTAGGTTATAGTTCAACAGTTCTTGCAATTCCTCTACCAAACTTTGTTTCCTATCCAGACGGTTATGATTTTTGGAGTGAATTATTATTACCTAGTTTCAATAGTTTTACTTATTCATATAAGCTTGAAATGATAAATGAAGAATTTTATAGATATTTAAATGGAGAGGCATTACTTAAGTTTAAATGGAATACTTATGGAAGAATGTATTATTTAGTAATTTGGTTTATTTATACAGTTTATCTTTGTTGTTTTATAATAGCTGCAACATATTACAAAACGATTTCTCAGACTAGTCTGTTTATTCTCTTATATATTTCTATTATTCTTGGAGCTTGGCATTTTTTTCTCGAACTACGTCAATTTATTTTTGCACCAATAACTTATGTATTTAGTGCATGGAATTGGTTTGGTAATGTGAACTTTAAATTATAGTATTTGTTTTTTTCTAGTGTAACTAATTTTTATAATTACTATTTATTTGCTTATAAACAAAGATTTAGGTGCATATTTATTTCCAATGATATCGTCAATTATGTGGCTCAAAGACAATGTCATGCCAACAGAAATTGCCACCTTTTCTACTTTATTATTGGAAATCAAATTTTTATGTTTTTTTCGTGCATTTGAATTCTCTGGTACTTACTTCTCTATGATACTTGGAGTAGCCCAAAGGGGATTTTCGTTTTTGATGATAATAGGATTTATTATAATTGCCTTTGCACATTCATTACACCTTTTATTGCGCCCTGCTACTAATGTATCATTGGATTATCCAAGCTATACTAATGATCCGAACGATCCTTGGAATTTAGCTACAACTTATAATACAGTAGATCCTAATGGTACAATCGAAGAAACCTCTTCAATTATTGAGCCTCCTACTACGACCACAAATATGTTTATGATGATGACTACAGCAATTTCTGCTGTTTATATTATGCTAACAGGTAAATTTTAAGAGGTAATTAGAATCTAATGGTATAAATTTCATAATAAAATTTGCGGAATTTTACTATGAATCTATTTTTATTTTTCGTTACTGATATTATAAGGTTGGAATGCCAAGAGTTTTTTTTCAATAATAAAAATCATAAATAATATTTCAATTTGTAACTTTTATAAGTCTAATACTATAGATTTGTCAAGCAGCTGTTGCTGAATAATAAAATTGTTATCCGGCAGAATATCGTCGTAAGTTACCGGATAAATACGTTATCAGTCATGCACGTACTGTCTTATAACTTATTTATTTGGTCATAAATTTAAGATACGCATAAGAAATGAATTCATTCGGAATTCAATTCTTACGCGTATCTTAATTAATGACAGTTATCAGATAGTGCATGACTGATAACTATTAAATATTATAACTCGCCAATTTTTACTATGAAATTTACATCTTTCTATACCCTTCAACTCTATTCGCCTCTTAAATTTTATTTATTTATTTTTTTTTTTTAGAAATTTTTTAATATACAGTATTTAAACTTCAATTTTATTTACATTTAATAGGAGACACTACACCAATTTCTTACTGGGATTTAGATGACAACCCCGCTTTA